ATGCATAAGGAATGATATGCAAAAAAAAAGTATATTTACAATACACAAGGCAAACCTTGAAGTGCAGAATCAAGAAGAGATGCAAATAACGTAAATGTATTCTCTCCACCATCGACTAACACCTCGTCTTCATGCTTGCAAGATTTCAATGATTGACTCGTAACTTGCCGAATTGAATCAAAGCCAGCATTAAGCTCTGAGACTGTATGACTATCAGTAGACACCCTTCTCTTTGAGGAATAAAACGCTTTCTGTGCTGATCCTTCAAGGCCATCAGCATCATAATTTTCAACCTCCTGCTTGATTTCTTCAAGGAGAAGTGCAGCATTAGGCCGTCTTTGAATATTATTACCATCGATCAAGAGTCTAGCTTCTGAAAATCTTGATACTGAATTTCCAAGAAGAGGAGAAATACTTGACGTAGACTGTCTTTTCCTGTGTGGGAAAAAAACAAAGAAAATGAGTTGGATAGTTGCAGAAAAGACTACTACTTTCTGACCACAAGAGTATCAGACAGGACAACTCATGCCTCCTACCAGAAAAAGGGTATCCATACGTTCAAATTAAATATTAATTTTTTAAAACAAGAAGAGAAATCATCACCAAGATTTTAGATATACTAAGGTGTATACGTGAAGACAAAAAATCTTTTATTCTAACAAGGTTTTTAAAAGCACCAAAAAGTCCTGCTTAAGTGGATTTTGAAGCAGAAGTAGCTCCAGACCACTTCACTTTTGCCGCTTATAATGGTTTTGAGAGTTTTTGGCGCTATCTACTCTACTTTAAAGCGTGTAAAAGCACGTTAAAATGCTGTTCAAATGCTTTAACAGAAGTGAATTTTGGGCATCTGGGCTGCAATTTTATATCCAACCCGAACCTGACTCATTCTTATAACTTAAACTGATGCGAAACAATGTGATGCAGGTATGAAGATTAACGACAACAATGCTTCGCCAAATCAACAATCGATCTAGGCATGAAGCTCAAGAATAAAGTGTAGTTTTCGATGGTTTTTAAGCAAAAGTGCAATGTACTAAGTTCAAACCCTTTTGTAAATTATTCGGAAAATATTTTCGATGGTTTTTAAGCAAAAGTGCAATGTACTAAGTTCAAACCCTTTTGTAAATTATTCGGAAAATAAATGTAATGATTCGTTCTCTTAATACAAATGTACTAAGTTCAAACCCTTTTGTAAATTATTCGGAAAATAAATGTAATGATTCGTTCTCTTAATACAGTTCAATCTATAATATTTAGACTAGCAAATATACTTGGCAATTGAATCGCTCGCTCACTAATCAAACTGAATACAGCGCAATCAATTGATATTAAAATTAAGAATAACACATACGCAATAGTAGTTCCGAAAATACAGGGTCAAAGAAAACAAAACATGCGTCGGACTGAACTGATTCAAGTCTGATCCAACACAAATCAGACCCAAATAAAATGGGTCAGTCCTGTTCAAAGAAACAGATCCGACAGATCTGTTCGGTGCTGCTTCGACTTGAGGAGAGGAGGGCGATGGTTGCTCGAGGACGACAAACGACAGTGACCTTCGAAGGCTGGGAACGGCGACGGCTGTTCCAAGGACTTGAGGCTGCTCGAGTGTGGAGGAGGAACAAGGACGGCGGGCAGCGGCTTCGTTGTTTGAGGGGAAAAGGGAACAGGGAGAGGGCCGGGCCTTGTGGAGAGGGATGAAGGCGGCGACTGGCTGGGAGAGCAGGGGGTCCGTCAGAGATCCTGGAGAGGCGTGAGCGGAAAACAACGGGAAGAGGAGATGGGGTTTGGCGGGGCTGGCGCGCGTGACTGATGGGCGCGGACTGCTGTGGTCGGATGCGGCTGTTTAGGTGGCCGGTGGTTGCTTGCGGTCGAAGGAGGAGGATCGTCGGTCTGGTGGGCTCGTCGAAAGGGGGCGACGGGGTTGGGGTTGTGCTTGGGTGGAGGAAGAGGAGTGGGTTGCGATTTGTGAACAGAGGGGGGGATCGAAGGTTGAAGGAGATGAACAGTAGACTTTTATTTTTTTAGGCGCTGTAGAAGAAACGAAAATAATTGCTAGGGTTTCACACCTCAGTTAAGCAAAATAATTTTCATTTTCATCTTCAATGATTTCTCAGATTACAAGAGTTTCTTAAATAGGAATTACAGATTTGGAATATCCTCTAAATCCCTCAAATCACTCCCATAATCAATTACATTCAATCAGCTCAATAACTACCAAATAAGAATCAAAATTTGAAATTCAAAATTCAAAAATCTGAAATTCAAATTAATTATTACATCTAAATTCAAAACCATAATGCTGAAATATTGCGCCTCCTGCGTTGATAAACTCGGCGAAAATCTCGAGCACGCGTCTGAATGTCCTCATCATAAACCCTCCCCCTTCATTTTTGCATCCGACCCGAACCCAATTTCTGCTTTCCATGGCCTTGATTCCAAATGTGCTATCAATAATATCCTAGCAGGCTCCTATCTATAATCAACAAGGTGTATGCAGGGAAAGAAAAGGGTACATTTCACGCTAACTTTCGGGTGATTTAATGACCACGAACTTTAAAACCCACAACAAGGTTATAATTAAAGAAAAATCTAAAAAATCTAAAAGTGTATATGTGATGATTTAAAGAGATCCTAAACATGAAATAGACATATACTCGTTACATAATACCGAAGATGACTGAATGAGGAGTCAAAGAGTCGTCATTTTTGAGAAGAGGGAGTGAGAGGAAGTGTTGAGGGAGGTGCCGAAGGCTGTGGGAAGCGGGGGGAATAAGCTGAAAATCACAGGAGGCGGTGGGATGCAGTGGTTGCGGGTCGAGTTTAATTTTTTTAACAAAAATTCAAACCGCTTTTAAATAGCAGTCAAAAAGCAGATTTTGCCGACAATCGTCCGTTATTCACCGCTATAGCACGTTATTGGCCGCTTTTGCCAGTGGAAAGTGCATATTCCGCAACATGTCACTGCTATTGGGCAATAGCATAGTGCGCATGGACCACTTATGCTATTAGCGCCGCAATACCACTATTTATAACAGTGACCCACACCCCTCCCCGTCCCCAACAAAAAAAACCTTTGGAGTCTCAAAAAAACCTCCGCGACCTTCCGAAAATATCCACCAAGTGAAGTAAGCATTTAAAACAAAAAATCCTCTGCTACTAAAACCTTAAAACCAAACTCCCAACATAATTTTTTTCCTCATTCCATTTCTCTCTTCAGCCTTCCCCAACAAACCCTAAAAAGGTATTTGC